ATGTCCACCGTATTTAGCAAAATATATAATTTCAATGGAAGAAAAAAAAACCTACATTTATTTAAAAACACAATTCTTAATTTACTACTGAGTGCGTCAAAGAAAAAATGCACTACGCGAAAAATAAAATCGAAAAGCAACAAATAATTTTTAATGAAAATCACTGTAAAAAAAATCTTTTTTTCGCAGTTCATTCTATTTATATGAAAAAACTACTATGAAATCCTTTGCAACTATTATTTTTCCAGGGGAAATATAATTGTTTCTGTTGTGGCAGTGTTGAAATTACACTTGATCTATATTTTTCATTCATATTATTCACACGTAACAGCGCATTTTTAGAGTATACAGTTCACTTTCGTGCAATTACACACGCAAATAAATAAAATATATAATTCATTTAAATTTTTATGATAATAATTATTAATTATTCAGCTCACAAATGTCTGCCCAGTAGTTCACTTTCTCTTTTGCTCAAAGAACCATATTTACGAGAATGGAAGGAAATAATTAAGTCTGCAACACATAGAGCAAAGTAATCATTCTATTCTCATCATTCATAAGATTATTTAGACAGCCTTCTATAAAACCATTACACACAATTAGAGTGCACAAAATGTGTGCACTCAGCGCACGGTGTGCATCAACGAATTCCACATTGTGTCTTCCCGTATTTATAAACTTCTTTTCATATGTGAATATAACTAGAACAGAAGTTTGTTGCAAGAATAAATAAATTTAGGCATAACCATAATTATAAAATAAATTTATAGTAAAGAGAAGGAAGTATTAATTTATAATGTACAAATAATACCATAGTTCTGCTACGATATAGCATAAAATGTCTTAGGCTGTATTGTTTAATGTATGAGTTGCACTAATTATGCTAGAGCCACATAATAAAGAATAGCCAGCACTGTCTATTGGTAACAATCAAATTTATAGTCGTCTGAAGAAGAAAAAATGGATAGGGACATAAATAAAGAAGAAGAGCAAAAAATAAAAAACAGAATGAAAAAAATAAGAAAAGGAGAAGAAGAAAATTACAAAAAAGGAAGAA